CTTTGCACCTGATTGATACCAGGGGTTCCTCTGATTTCTGTAACCTCTTGTGCAAAATTCCAAGCTTCCGCTTCTTGTCTGGCAGTTTCCAGGGTATATGTTGGTAGGATATCTTTGTTGTTAAAAACCTTATCATTTCTGGTCTTCCATATATACCATAGGATCCAGGGAAAAGCTTCCAAGACTTTTGCATCCTCTCCTTGTAGTGTGACCCGGAAAAGGAGGTGTGCAAAATTTTGGGAGATGTCCATACTCAAGAAGATACCCAGAGGGGATGGGATTGCACTTAAAGCCCAATTTTGTATCGCTGGAGGGCATTCAAAGAGTACATGATTGATCGACTCTACTTCTGCACCACAGCGTTGGCACCGGCTATCTGTCCTACAGTGACGATACATCAACTGGCTGTTTGTCGCCATACTACCCGAGAGAGCTTGCCACAGAAAGTGTTTTATCTTTCGAGGGGCCTTTAAATCCCATACTTTACTCTTTAGGGGATTGAGGCTTGGTTCAGTAACCGGTGTCAATCTGTCTTCCTCTCTCATTTGTATTGCCAGCTCATATCCTGTCTTAACTGAGTACATACCAGACCTAGTATAAGCCCATATGAATCTATCAGGTTTATATGCTCTACTTGGTCTGATGCTCCTTATACGTCGTATATCTTCCGGATCAAAAACCTGTGCTAGAAGATCGGCTCGCCATTCATTTGTATCTGGATTGATTAGGTGATGGACATATAGGTCCGGGTCTCGTCCTTCCCCTAAATCCAGAGCTGGTCTTGGGGGGCAGACCGGGATCCAGTTATCATACCACACTCTTGTACTTATCCCGGAGTTTATCGCTTTTCTCAGCCGTTTTTGGAGAAGTTCTTTTGCCGCTATAATGCTTTTCCAGCCATAAGATGGGTTATTTGCCTTGCCAATCTCCAAGGGGGTCGAATATCGATAGTATCTCGCTCTTAAGACTCTTGCCAGTAGGGATAATGGGTAATGAATCAATCTCCATAGTTGTTTTGCTAGGAGAGCCAGGTTAAAGCTTGTAAGGTCTCTAAATCCTAGGCCTCCTTTTTCCTGGTTGACACTTATCTTGTCCCAGGCAACCCAATGCATTCCTCTATTATATTGTTTTGTACTCCACCAGAACCGGGAGATGGTGCCATTTAACTTCTTTAAGATAGCTTGTGGGAGAAGGAAACAAGACATGACATAAGTGGGTAGAGCTTGTGCTGCCGACTTAATCAGAACTTCCTTACCCCCTTTTGATAAGAGTTTTGCAGACCAAGCGTTAATCCAGGAGCTTAATCTGTCTTGTATGAAGGCAAAAACTTGCTTTTTCGAGCCACATATCTTTTCTGGTAAGCCCAAGTACATGCTCATACCGCCCTCCTTTGAGATACCTAGTGTTTGTTTCACCTCCGTCTTTTTAGCTGCTGAGGCCTTTTTCCCAAAGAGGATAGAGGATTTTTCACAGTTTAATTTCTGTCCCGGTGCTGTTCCATAGCAATCAATAATTTTCATCAGTTACTCGCATTCCGACTTCTCTGCTTTGCAGAAAAACAAACTGTCATCCGCAAAGAGGAGGTGTGAGATGGGAGGGCAAGTCTGTGCCACTTTGATGCCCGTAATACGTCCCTCTGTTTCCGCCCCTTTTACTTGGGAAATTAAAGCCTCTGTTAAAATGATGAACAGGAAGGGGGATAGGGGATCTCCCTGGCGTAAAACTCTTAAAGGTTGGATGTTTCCTTTTGCTTCGCCATTAAGGAGAACCTGGTATGACACTGATGAGATACACCATTTGATCCACAAGATCCACTTTTCATCGAATCCCATTTTATCTTGTAGGTGACGTTGTATAGGCTTATCGGTCTAAACTCTGCCATTTCTGCTGGTCTCGTTGTTTTCGGGATCAAGCAAATGTTGGTCTGGTTTAAACGCGGGTCAAACCTATCAGTAGCAAAGAAATCTCTGACCACTCTGATGATATCTTTTGAGATGACTTTCCAGAACTTCTGATAAAAAAGACTACTCATCCCATCTGGTCCCGGAGCTCTTTCCGGGTTTATTTCAAAAATTACTTTCTTTATTTCCTCATCAGATGGGTATCTCGTAAGGGCAGCATTTATCGTTGGGGAGACTTGCGCGGTAACATACCAGAGCGCCTCATCAAAATCTTGTGGCTGGGAGGTTGTGAAAAGATCTTGGAAATATTTTGTAGCCACTTTTTCCAGCCCATGTTCGGTTTCTACCCAGGCACCAGAAGCATTTTTTAGTCGGATAATCTTGTTTCTAGCTCTTCGTTGCTTAGTCGTAGCATGAAAGAATTTTGTGTTCCTGTCTCTTTCCTTTAGCCAAATTGCTCGACTTTTTTTGTTTCCAGTGGAGTTCCTCTTCTCGGAAGGCTTCACAAAGGTTCCATTTCATAGTTAACAGTTCTTCATTCGAGAAAGAGTCATCTTGTTGAGCTAGCTCCAGTTTTTCCTTAATTTCCTCTATCTTTTTTATCGCATTTGACGGGTTAAGCCGTTTCCATGTTGAGATTGCATTTCGGCATTTCCCAATCTTGGCGAACAGGTCTGGGATACTAGAGCCATCTGAGGTTCCCCAACCCTCTATGATCGTCTCTAATAGTCCTTCTTTTCCCAGCCATCTTCTGTCAAATTTGAAATTCCTTTTAACCATGCTTTTTCGCGATTGAATACGAGCCAACATCGGCTGATGATCAGAACCCCAAAGTTTGAAATACTCCACATTCGTGTGGAAAAAAAGATGATGCCATTCTTCGTTACCTATTGCTCTATCAAGCTTACATCGAACTCTGCCACTTCTTCTATTGCCTACCCAGGAAAAGGAGTTACCTTTTGTTGGGAATTCCACCATTCCGGTGTCTTCAAGCATAGTATTGAAAGGTAAGAAGGATGCATCTTGGCGTTTCCGCCCTCCTCATTTCTCATGATGGCCTGTGATCTCATTAAAGTCCCCACTCATGAACCATGGTCCCGTCCTTGTGGTGCTTATCCTTGTTAATCGTTCTCATACCATCTCACGGCACTCTCTGACCGGATCACCATAGACAAAAGTCATAAATACTTTTTGTCCTTCTTTCACAGCTTCAACGTCAATTAGACGGTTATTTGCAAATAAAATCTTAACATCTAAAAAATCCATATAAAAAAGTGCTAGTCCACTACCAGTACCTTCTGGTTCCACAGTGAACAATTTATTATAACCAAAAGAATGCTGAAAGTCTTGCATAAAAGAAAAAGAATTTTTTGTTTCAGAAAGAAAATGTAAAGCAGGAGAAAAACAGCGGTGCAGCTCTCTATGGTGTTGTTTTGTCAGATAAGCCTCTGCACCTTGACATTCCATGAAATTGTATTCATATTCTCTTACTGGATGGTTTCTGGAACCCCACCGAACCTGAGACAGCAAAATTCTTCTTACTTAAAGCAGAAGGGAACACCTCATTTCGAGGGATAACTGATTTACGAGAGGGATTAGGAATGTTACTTGATCCCTGTCTCCTTTTTGGCGAGCCACGTCCTTTGTTACTTTGTAGCAGGTTTGTTGCTCCCCTTCCTTTTGTTTTGGGGCTTTGCATGACCCGCCTTTTGCTTCCAGACCAGGATGAGATGCGTTTAGGGGCCTGCTTTTCAGCCTTTTCTCCTGAACGAGCAGGGAGTTTTCTTTGGTGATCGATGCTTCTTTCATCTTGCTTTGCGATCGGTGATGGAGTGAGCTGTGAAATAGCTGGAATTTTCTCAGTCTCATCGTCCAGTTCCTCTCCCAGAAGGTCGTCGTTGTCCAGCTCTTCTTCATTCATGTCGATATGGTTCTCTTCCATCGCCATCTTGTCAAAATCCTCCAACTCTTTAGCTGTCATTGATGGTAACGGGGTTAATTCTTCGCCCATCTCTTCTGATTCCAGGACAACATCAATCTCCATATTCCCGGTACTCACCGGAATTTTCTCCTGCGTTTCCATCTTCCTAGTCGATGTTGGAGTGTCGTGCATCGTAGGTTCTTTTATCACCAAAGTCCCTGGTTTTTTCAAATACACGTAGTGAACCAGATTCGCGTTTCGAGTAACCGGGACCTCGACATGAGCTTTTCCTTTGAGACGTCTCATTCTCTCATGCTCTGTTTCAGTCCTATCTCCTCTTTCCGTTGTGATTCTCTGAGAGCTCCCAATTTTTAAACCTGCAACTTGGTCCGAGATTGTTCGCTGCGAGTCTGAGACACCTCTAGACAAATCCATTTTGGCCTGTGTTAAGCTCCAAGGTGAGTTGCTTTTTGGGGAATGACGCGACATCTCTTCTTCTCTGTTGTCTTTAGCTTTTGGTCTCTAGACTGCTCTCTGTTTAACAGCTTCATATCTTCTTTGGCGCTTTTCTGGTTCATGTGTAGAGTAGAAATCTCTTGTCTCGCGATATCGCAGATATTTCTCTGCAAAAGGTTTATCGAGTCTACTCCACACCTCCTTGCCCCGGGCATTTCTCTTATCACTGAGATTCAACCTAAGATCCCTCTCTGAACCCGAGAGATTGCGGTTTTGATGCCAGTATTGATGCTCTATAGCTTTTCCCCTTTCATCACTGTCGCGTACCACTTCCCGGGTTGCACCCGAGTTTAATTTCCCATGTTTATTGGGTTGGGAATCCACTGTACATCTTGCAAATTTTCCGCCTTCCCCTGTTTCTCGGGTGAACTCTCTTTCTGCAGCATACGGGTGTCTATCCCCTCTGCGGGGATCTCGTACGTTTCAGAGATTCTTTTTGTCCGCCTTGGATTTGCATCGTTGCACTTTTGTCCTCGACAAGCTCTCTGTTTTTCTCCAAACTTCTTCTCTCTTCTGCTGGGATTTCAGGGCAAGAGCTAATCTCATGTGAGATATGTTTGCATTTGAAGCAGAATCTGTGTAGCCCCTCGTACTCGAAAGATATTTTCCCGGTATTTAATTATCGATCTGTATACACCACCAAGCTCTATCTAGATATAAGATTTCTTTATAAAATTATTTTATTAGACGTGAACAAAAGAGATTTAACGAGACCAGAATTGGCATTTAACAACGCTGAAACGTTACAACATAGTCCATTATTTTAGACGCATCGCGATTTCCTATTAACCGTCACCCAAGGAGCCGTAAGACCTGCACATCCCAGACGCAACTTGATGTAAACGACTGAATAGAGTATTTCACTTTTTCAAAAGAATTTCACGTTTCAAACCGACTGAAACGTTAACAAAAGAATTTCAATCTCTTTTTCTTTTTAAGCAAAAAAAAAAAAGAATTTCACTTTTTAAAACAAAATTCTTAAAAAAATGAAAGATCATGGTTATATTTTTAGAGAAACATGTAAATGCATATAAACCATCGAGACCAAAGGATATACTAATATATACACATATTGAAGATGATTGATATATAGTATATACACTTACTTCCACACTTAGTACCACGGGCTACTGGTCGACCGCATTGACGGATGACCCCAACCGCGTAATTTATATCATTGGCATTGACGAGGGCCGCCAGCTGTGGAGTTATGATAGAACAAACGCACCACATAGGAGTCTTCCTGATCCGAAGACAATATTCAGTTGTTGGAGACTGTCTTATGATCAATCTCTTGCACGCGTTTATTAATACCCGGCGTTGCGCATGGCAGTAACTCTCTGCAGCCACTATTTCGAATGTAAAACTGGAAAACAACATGAATAGGATCAGCGAGATCAACATAGCTCTCTTCTCCTCCATTTCTCTTGGTGACCTTTGAAAGTTTAATATTGAGGGAATACCTCTCTGTTTATAAAGTAAACTTCCACAAAAATGCTCTATATTATTCTCAACATAACTCTGTCTTATTTTTTAAGACTTTTACTGTGTTCAACTTTGAAAAGTCGCGAGCTAATAGCCGATGGAAAATGTGTGGTTTTCCATTCACTTTTTTTCTCTGTCTTCTAATAGTGGTTTTCTATATTAGCATATAAACTTTATATGTTGGTCATCATAATAATGTCTGACGCGTCCTGTTTTTTTATATATTCATTATTTACACCATATTAACATATATTTTGCATTGTTTTATAGTTTTTAAACATGCATTTTTGTTTGTTTTTGTCTCATTTACATTTAATTAGGGCTTAGTGTAGATTTAGGGTTTGTATTACATGTTTTGTGCATTTGAGGAGTTTGACAGGTATGTTTGGAGAGTGTGGAGACTGCAAGGAGCATGGGAGTTGATGGTGGATGCAGCACAAGACATGAAGAAAGCCAAGAAGAAGGTGCACCTTGTTGAAGCGACCAGAAACTTCACCTGATAAAACCGGCTCGGACAAATCATCTCCAATCCGATTCAGCTTCAACAGTCTTCATAAGTATTGTAGCTCCATGAGTTAGTTTGCCTCTAGAGTTGGTTTCAGATCATTCCCATCAGTGGTTAGAAAGTTACAAAAGTTTTTGTGAAACCGCTCAACCTGCATCGATCAAGACATAGCCAGCATCGTTCGATGTGAAGCAGCAGAAAGTTGGAAAGTTCACATCGATCACATGTGATCGATGTCGAGAAACAGGACAACCACATCGGACACTCATATCGATCACCCTATCTGACCCGAGAGCTTTGAAGAACGCATTGATCAACCACATCGATCATCATCTGATCGATCTCAAGAACCAGAAGCCAACATCGATCACTTATGATCGATGTTGACCCAGCCAGAAGACAATTTATTTACAACTTTGCCATTCCTCTTAGACTCCTATAAATACGTAAAATCTCTAATTTTCGGGAACATCTCTTTATCCAGCAATTCTTCTTTTCTTTTCTAGATTTTGAATAATTTGTAGTTGAATCTTGGTTTGTTTTAATAATAGTTTGCATTTCCTTTAATCTTTTGTCTTCCTAATCATGATTAACTATCTTTTCTTTATAGATTTGATGGTTTTCACTATGATTAGTGAGTAGTTTGCTTTGGGTTTGAGTTTAGGGCAGATGGGGTGATTTTAGTGATTGTTTAGGGTAATTAGGGCTTAGATCTTCTCATTCCTGTTCTTATATGATTGTGCTTAATGCTTAGTACACCTCTTTGTTGGAGAAGTTGATCTTAGGTTTTCACATGCACACTAAGTGTTTGATGAAATGCCTGAATGAAGTTTAATGCTTGAAAATGGTGTTTAAATAGTCATGAGTCTTTGCACCTATCATTTCCCGCTTGAATGTGCTTATTGCTTAGTACCACATTGGTGGGAATTGTCTTTAAATGTTGATTATGCATGAGAATGTGAGTTGATGTTTGATATATTATATAAGAGATTAGTAAACCTAGCTTAAGAGATTAGATGTCTAGCATGCTAATTGGGTTTATGGAACTTGATTACAATGCTTGCTTGTCATAGATACACCCCCAAAAGTGGGTTTGAAATGTGATAAGTCAAAGGGATTAGTGCCAAGAGATTGGATTAGTGTTTATTAGTGTTCCTTACTTAAGGTTGAGTGTTTAGAATTGCTTGTTTTGATCACCGTAGATATGAACATGAATCACCCTATCACCATTGCCTTAATCTTGAACCATCTTTTAATCTTTGAAGTTTAGCTTTACTCTGGTTTTGCTATGTTTTTCATTGTTATTATTGTTCTTTTATTGTTTTCTTTTGCTTCTTTGTTTGTCACTAGGTTGTTAGAATCTAAACCCTTTCCTATTATCTTAGCTTAGCATAGTTCTCTATATCTCAACTGTCTTTTAACTTCTCAAGTGGATTGACACCTCAAGTACTACAATGACATGTGTGTTTGAGGATTGATCAATGGATTCAAAATATTAACATCAATTGGCGCCGTTGCCTCTTGGGAATATTTTTAATGCATTTGAGATTGAGTTCTTGCTTAGACTAAGCATTTATTTCAGTACTGATTTTCTCTTTTATTTTGGTTTCCTTATAAGTACAATGTATCACCCTCAATCTTACTACCAAGACTCTCTAAGTGGCTTCAACCATGGGTCCCCTTATGAAGCTTATGATGCTGCTTATCACAGCAGTTATAGAGACCAGCACCAGCTTTCTGATCTCTTCCCTCCATACCACGCCCACGGTAGTCCATCTCATGAGTTGAGTGTCACTGAAATGTTGCAGCAAGTCCTTCAAAACTGTGCTATTCAAGAAGAGACTAACAGGAAGGGAATGGATTCTCAACAAGTTGGCTCACATCACATTAGAGCGAGACACTAAACTAGCAAACCTTACACTAAGAGTGGGGCAGCTTGAGTTGAAGGAAGCAATAGCATCACAGCAACAACATTATTCACTCCTTGGAAAGAGTAAGCCCCTACACCAAGAGTATTGTCATTTCTTACATGACAAGGACATCAACTTCAACAAAGAGGCTGAAGCATCCATTAAGGAGACTGAAGAAATGATTTTTGGGGCTCAAGAAGTGTTCTCCACCACAAGCTCTCCTAAGAAGATCAATGTGGACATTGACACTAAGTGTGGGGGTATTGCTTTTCACTTGAGTTCAGCTGGTGATGCCAATGCTGATGAAGAAGACAAAGCCATTGAAGCAGAGGTTGTTGAAGCTGAAGTGGAGGTGAAACAAGGAGCTGAATTGGTTGAGCATGACAAGCTTGTTGGAGTATACTATGCAATAAAGGAGTTTCCAAAAGAGTCACCTCTCCAAAAATAAGCTGAACCCAAGAAGAAGAAGCAAGAGCCTTTAATAAAAGATGAAGCATCACACGATGAGGATGAGCTTTAGTACAAAACTCCCATACATTATCCTGGTAGATTTCTTACAAAGGCTCAAAAGGCGGTGCTCTCAAGGTTCATAAATGAAATGGATGAGGCTGGTGTCACTTTGCCTCGACTAGAAACTTTGATGCAAGTGAAGCATCAAATACCTTCTTGAAACATAGAAAAGGTGGAGCCAATTTTGAACTCTTCATTTGGAGAGGAGAAGAAGAAAGAAGAGCCAACAACCCTCCATAAGCTTGGCAATCCAGGAAAGTTTCTAGTCTCTTGTGAGCTTGGTGAATACGTTGTGGAAGAGGCCATGTGTGACACAGGTTCAAGTATCAATGTGATGACTCTTGAATTGGCAAAAGAACTAGGAGTCACCAAGCTGAGACCATATGATTCCACAATCACTTTTGTGGACTCATCTTCAAGCAAGCCTGTTGGTCTCATTGAAGACTTATCTTCGAGGATTGGAGCATGCAAGTTACCAACTGATTTTTTTGTGATGGAAATGGCTCACACTCAGAAACCTTCTCTACTACTTGGGACTCTATTTCTGAACACAGCAGGCGCTGATATTGACTTCACCAAAGAGAGAGTCACCCTCAAGAAGGTGAATGGTGGAGTTAGCTATGCAATGCAGCCTCCACCTTCAAGATTTTGTGGAAGCATCACTAATGTTGAGAAAGGAGCTGCTAAGAAGCCATCTGATGTTAAGGAAGAGCTGAGGGGATTCAAGGCTGAAGTTGTAAAACAAGATGAAGACCTTCTTGATCACAATGAATATGATGGTGAAACCTTAAATAATGCTTATCTTCTTGACTTGTTTGATGGAATCAAGGTGAAGCTCTATGGTGGACCAAGGAAGCCAAGAAAGAGAGTCAGGAAACCTTAGGAGAAGCTCTACTGTGGAGCTAATACATTGTTCAAGAAGAAAGGAGAAGGAACTTCAGTTCCACTCCATCTTCGTCCATGATATTAAGGAGCAAGAAAAGTCAAGCTTAGTGACTCTAAACAATCACTCTTGGGAGTTATTCCCATGTTATCCATGTACATATTTTTGCATGTTAAGTTTGTGTTTGTGTTTTTCTTTTGATCCTAGGAGCAAGTTGAGTTTAAGGCAAATTGTTAGTTGGGTTAGTGCATGTTCTAGCCAGCATCGAGCTAGTCATGATCGATGTGGCCAACATCGGACACGGATATCGAGCAGAGGAGATCGATGCCAACTGACCAAGATCACATCGATCAGGAGTGATCGATGTAATCAACCCGAGAGTTTGAGGATTAACATCGAGCAGCAACATCAATCAAGGCTTGCTCGATGTACCTACATTGATCACCTGCATCAATCACGGCTGATCGATGTGAAGGGGAACAGAAAACCAAGTCCAACATCGACCACCTAGATCGATCATGGATGATAGATGTGAACTTCCTTTCTGCCAAAACCTCTTCTAAGGTACACAGCTCCACTATTTTCTTTATAAATCCTTTTGTACTCATTATTAGTATCCCTTATCACCCTCCTTCAAGCTTTTATTACACAGAGGACTGTGTAATTTAAGTGTGGGGGAGGGCATTGCATTTAACATTGTCTTTTGTTTTCTTATTTTCCCTTTTTGTACACTTGAGTCTCGTGCATTCATGCATTCATCTATGTGCACTGAAAATCCATAAAATTTTCAATTTTTTGGAACTAAAAAGATCATTTAGTTGCATTTTCATAACTAAGATTGAGTCTAGAAGCATTTCAAATAGCTTTGCACACATTTGCATAGGGAGTAGATGATAAACACTTGTCAAGATGTTAATGTTTGAGTTGTTTTCAATGTCTTGGTTTATCTATTGTTTGATTGCATTGTAGTGAGTTTGAAGTTAAGGCTGCACCATATCTTGAATTCTTGCATTGATATTCTTGTCTTTTGCTCAAGCTTGCTTTGATTTGATATCAACTCTATCTTATTAGAACCATAATCCTGACTTATAATTATCTTGCTTATGTTTTGAAAAGTGATTGCATGGCTACCATATACATACTTGGACTTTCTTTCTCCTTCTGCCACTCTTTCTAGTCCAAAAAGTGATCCTCATCTATAGGATAGTTAACCACACCTTAAAACGATCTTCC